TGAGAGGTACGATGCTTCCAGGGCGACAGGCTTGCCAATATTGATAAATGCAATCTTTACATATTGTATCAAATTAAACGTATTTAAGCTTTATTATGAATGGATTTCAACATAAAGTACTGTTTGAGACATACGGGCCATTGTGGGAAGATAATATGATTAACATTTTTGTGTGCTGTGTCAGTGCGTAAGTCTATAGATATGTTTCAGTTTATCAGCCTCGTGAATTTCCCTGTGCGATTATTTTTCGCACGTTGTAAAATGCCTAAGGTTACCAAAATTAAACTCAGCGAGTCGTAATAAGTGTCCTTTTACACCCTCTTTCTAAAATTCTGCAGTGCGGCAGCTATCGGAAATGTTTGTAACCCTGTCCTATCACGTGAGGATAAAGCTGATTTCGTCATCCTTTAACTTTATGGCTTATTTTCTCTTTCGAAAAGCATAAGCTGTCTCTATAACAGCAGTTATCAATTATAAGAACGGTGCTGAACATCAAGTATCGTTCCTTGAAAGTGCGGAGCGCATTAAATAAACTAGAAAACATTCCATTCTAAAAGGGCACAATACATACGTAATTATATAAAGTACGTTGGGTTTATAGCGCTGTGTCGCTTCTGGTACGGCAGTGGCCTCTTGCTAGAAGTTTCCCATTTTGCTTTCGGAAATAGATATGCATACATAAATACATGCATAAATACATACATATATACTCACATACATACATATATACATACGTACGTACATATACATACATACATACATAGATACGCACATACATACATAATACACATGGACACACACACAGATATATATAAATATATATATATAGATACATATATATATATATATATATATATATATATATATATATGTGTGTGTGTGTGTGTGTGTGTGTGTGTGTGTGTGTGTGTGTGTGTGTGTGTGTGTGTGTGGGTGTGTGTGTGTGTGTGTGTGTGTGTGTGTGTGTGTGTGTGTGTGTGTGTGTGTGTGTGTGTGTGTGTGTGTGTGTGTGTGTGTGTATGTATATATATATATATATATATATATATATATATATATATATATATACATATATATAAACTATTGGCAAACTAGTAATACATATTCTTGAAAGTTCACTGCACTTGGTATAACTGTGTCTAGAATCAAAAGGAATTGGGAAGAGACCGTTAACTTTTACGTACTTAAAATATGTCAGTACACTCGAATATATATATATATATATATATATATGTATAAACTATTGGCAAATTAGTAATACATATTCTTGAAAGTTCACTGCACTTGGTATAACTGTGTCTAGAATCAAAAGGAATTGGGAAGAGACCGTTGACTTTTACGTACTTAAAATGTGGTAGTACACTCGATAACCTCTCATTTAAGGACCCGGTGAAAATAGAGAACCTGACCAGACTAAAATCCATTAATTCAACCAGCAGTTGCATAACCTCCACGAATTTTTAAACCCCGAAGTGGCATGTAAAATCTATGGAAAAGCTTTGATGTTTAGTTAATTTTCGTTCCCTCTCTGAATATTTTTGAGCAAGTCGTACGTCAGCTTTGAAATGATAAAGAGAATGAGATTTGAAGTCAAATAAAATTCTGGGAAAACGTAGCAATGAGGAGAAAAAAAGTATCGTTTAAAGAGATGAGATGGAAGCTAAATAAAATACTAGGAAAAGGGAGTAAGAATGAGAAAAGCTATCGTTTAAGAAGAATGAGATAGTAGTTAGATAAAATACTAGGAAAATATAGTAATAAGGAGAAAAGCAATTGTTTAAGGAGAATGAGATAGAAGTTAAATAAAATACTAGGAAAATGCAGCCTGTTCTGAACCCTTAGCAGTTACATATCGATTTTTTTCCGACTCTTAATGGACGGGAAAAAATAGTAATTATATTAGGGGTTCTAACTAAAAGCGATTCTATTATTCACATCATACTACTACGTGACGTATTTATAGAGGGCCAGTGAAGATAATGTACAACGAACCACGGTGAAAATATCGCAAAGCATTAAAAAAAAAGTTCGTAGATTGAATTAGCCCTTCTCCACGTATGTTTGCCTGAATTTGAGATACAAAAAAAAACACTTGTTTACATAAATGTGAAATAGAATAAAAAATATTTTACTCCCAAGTTATATTTGGATCTTTCATTAACACGACTAACCTCCAAACATCACAAGTGTATTTCACTTCACACATTCAGAATACCAAGAAAAAAGAAAGAATCTTAACTCGACGACGAAAAAAACACTAAATTATGCATATTACGGAGTGTTTTATCGTGTTATCACTGAGGGAAAGGTTATGGCCAAGAACAGTACAGAGATTTAAAGGAAGTTTGTCCATTAGCCAGACTGAAAGTGAGGAGGTAGTTTGAAGAACGTTTGTTGAAAGGGAAGACGCGGAAATCACTCGGCAGCTAGGAAATAGTTTGTGAATCATTTGATTCTTTTTTTGAAGATATGCTATGATAAGGTATATTTCATAAAAGATAAAGAAGAAATCCCACAACTATTACTAATAACAGTTGTTTTGCCATTATCATAAAATACATAAAAAGCTGCTAATATTACACACACACACACACACATACACACACATATGTATATATATATATATATATATATATATATATATATATATATATATATATATATATATATATATATATATACATATATATTTGGTATCATAGTTTTCTCTCGCCTGTTTTTTTGTTTCTTTTTTTTTCAAGTATATATTATATAATGAAACAGCAAGTAGTACCCAATACCCAATTCCTTAATAGAACTTCAATCCCCCCTTAAGCATCTCACAACCCGGCAAGTATGGCGCAATAGCGACCGTTCCTGGCCACCGTCTGAAATAACCAGTTGTGTAACGTAATGGTTTTGCCTTCCTTGGCGATCCATTCAGAGGAGATGATTATCCGGGAATAGAGTTCTCAGTTAATGGCTGTCCAATAGCAACGTTACCTTTGATGTCGGCTCAAGGGGTGTATATATACGTATAATGTCTCAACCGCCAACGAATCTGCTTGGTCATTACCATAGGGAAACAATGCATTCTGGCTCCACATAAAAAAAACACGTTAAGTACAAATATTCTCTTACTTTCTGGTAAATGGATTCACTAAACTCAGTTAAACGGTTCGTGTCGTGAAGTTCCTCGATTGATTTCCTCGTGGTATTCAGGAAAACGCAAGGCAAGGGGTCGTAGAGTTTGTTCACTTAAACTTGTTTATTTTTCATCGAAGCGAAAATGCACATAAGAGGTTGGAGACAATGGACGATTGCATATATCCGGAAGGCATCGTTGTACTGTACATTACATAAGCATCACTAGCCGGTCAGTTATCAAACAGCTACCACCACCAACCTGCCAACCTGCCATTAGTCATCACAAACCTGTCAAGTGTATCTTCTTCTCTATGTAAAAACCCTGAGTACACTTCCCCGTGGTGTTTCATACCTGGTTGCTAACCCTGATAAGTACAATTAATATCCGCCTGCATGATCGACAGGGTTAAAGCCGGCAACGGAACTGTTATTCCGGGGAAACCGTCGCTCTACCAAAATAACCCTTTATGTACTGGGGAAAGACGTTTGTGTCATCCTTGGCCCTAATGGGATTCACACCTGTTTCACGCGATATCATTCTCGATATCTGGGCAGAGGCGCTAATCGAGAGAGTATTTTGTCCGGAGTCTCCAAAGTGTGCTAAAAAACTGCCGGCGTTCCATGCTACATTGATTTAGATGTCTTGAAGCAACCAGTAGGTACAAATAATATAAATTTAATCTCTAGTGAGGATATGCAGATATCTGGTGTATGTGCTCCTTTTGGACTACTAGTGGCATTGCTGATTTGACCGTAATAAGCGAGGAATTTCCATGCTATGTAGATGCGGATATGGTCACTCTTGCCATAGCATTCATTGTTCGTGGTAAAGGTATCCAAACCCTTACTCCATTTATCGTGAATTATTTCAGGTAGCAAAACAAAACTACACGCACCGTACGGATCTTATCTTTATCCGTCTCCCTGAATTATTTCAGGTAGCCAACGAAATTACAAGTTGTGTATGGATCGTGTCTTCCAACGGACCCACCACGCTACTTGTGAAAGGGTTTGTGTACTTCTGAGACACCGGCCACAGGGAGGAGGGTCGGGTCGTAAGTCATAAGTCGACACCAGACCGGAATCTTCTGCTCCTATGCCCTATGAAAGTAGACATATAACCATGGCGTCGGATATGGGACTCTCATACGAAACAGTGACGGCATTTAGAATTAGAAACTGTGCCGGCCGTAAAAGGGAGCAGATAAGGTTGTACAGGGGGAAACACGTCACCCTTGGGGAATGTGTTTATTTTGTTCTTTTCTACAGCTAGGTTTGTCATATTGTTTGGTTGTCAGTGCT